CCCCTCGCCCCCTTCCTCCCGCCTTGGCGCCCGCGTAGGCCGCCGCCACACCTGCGCCGAGGTGGCGGGCGCCGGCCTCGTGCTGGCAGGCGACCGCGCCGGTCAGGGGTGGCGCCCCCAGGGAGTGTCTGCGCGCTCCTGCATCAGGGGAGCACTTGTGGGGGTACAGTGGAAGCACGTGTTTCTTCTTCCTCCTCCTCCTCCTCCTCCTCATCCTCCTCCTCCTGCTCTTCGTCATCCTCCCCCCCTTCCTCCTTCTCCTCCTCCTCCTCCTCCTCCTCCTCCTCCGCCTCCCCCTCCTCCACTCAAGCCCCTCTGGCCCGAGCTTTTTCTGCGCCAGGAACAGCCTTGTGCTGTTACCATCAATGTGCAGGCTTGAGAGCCTCCCAGCGGAGGTTAAAGCAAAGTTTTCACGACTTCAGTGATCGCCCCATGGCTCTTCCTCCTCGCTTGTCTGGCGGCGGTCCCGTTCCTTCGCAGCAGTCAGGCGCAGACTGGGCCACCGTGGCCCCTGGCGGGAAGACGTGGATATGCAATACATGTGGGTGTAAGCGAAACGTGTTGGGATGGTGGTTCTGCAAGCATTGCAAGGCCACGAGGACCAACTCCGACAGCCCTTCCCAGTCAGCTGATCGCTCCTCCTGGTACCCTTGGTCATCTTACGATCAGTTTCCGCCGCTGCCTCGGGGTCCCAACCGCCTGCCGTTGCGCTCAGGCATCCAGTTCGCAGCGGACGGGGAGGATGGGGGGAGTGGCCAGCAGCTCGCCGCGGGCGATCCTTGCGACGACATGGCCATTGGCGATTTGGAGAAGCTGGTCAATTTGCTGGAGTAGAGCGGTGACAAAGGCGGCGCTCGCGGTTGCCAGCTCGCTCTCGAGAAAAAGCGCCGCGACCCGGAGACCCCAGTCGTGCCGTTGCAAGCCCAGGTCGACGAAGCCTTCCACGAGCTGCGGCAGCTCAGGAAGCGCACGAACAAGGCATGCACTGTGCACGGTAAGATGCTGGAGGACCTCTCCAGGCAGAAACAGAGAAGTGGCGCGCTACACGAGAAGCTCACCACGGCGGAGGCCGCCCACGCGCGCCAGGTGCAGCAGTTGCACGAGCAGGTCGCCCAGCCTGGGACGAAACCGCCACCGCGGGCGCTCTTGGACATCTCTTCCACTGTGCAGGGGACGGCGGACGACATTCCGATCTCGATCGGATCGCTGCTCAAGCCGCAAGATGACTATGAGCTCGCAGGCCCTGACGCCGAGGGGGCGGAGCGCTGCGCGCAGGAGCTCAAGCAGTCGCTGCAGGCTGCGGTTCGCAAGCTCTTTGGTGACGCCCTGGACAAGAATCGGATTTTTCAGGAAGGGCAGAAGAGCATGCTCGAACGCTGCGCGGCCCAGCGGAGTCGCCGCGATGAGAACAGCGCTCGGTCCGAGGAGCCAGGCGCCAAGCATGTGGACATACCAGTGCCCGTTGACGACCCTGGCGCAGACGAGCTCAGCGGTGCTCACAGGCGAAGGCGGACTCTTCTCCCGGTGCCGCTTCTTCTGCCGCTGGCGACCCTCGACTTCGAGCAACCCGCCTTCTGTCGGATGCTGCCGCAGGATGCCCCCCCCTCCCCGGGTGCCGATGGCGCGCGGGGGGGATCTGCAGCCGCCTGAAGGTCCTCGTCTGACCCCTGGCAACCAGCTGTCCTACCCAGGGAGTTGGCGCCCTCTCTCCGTCGGCCTCTGGCCTGGACAGTCCGAGGCAGGGCGTGGCCCAAGTTTTTGTTTGCCAGTGCGTTTCCAGGGCCCTGTTCTTCCTGGGGGATGTCGCTGGGGATCTTGGGGCGCGGGGCCCGGCAAGGCTGCGGCCCCCGAACCTCCCTCCTCTGTCCTCTTTCCTCCCTCCTCCCTCCTCCACCTCCCCTCCTCCTCCTCCTCCTCCTCCTCCTCCTCCTTTCCTCCTCCTCCTCCTCCTTCTCCTCCTTCCCCTCCTCCTCATCATCCCTCCCTCCTCCTTCCTCCTCCTCCCTCCTCCTCCCTCCTCCTCCCTCCTCCTCCCTCCTCCTCCCTCCACCTCTCCCGCCTGCAGGCGCCTCGGTGGCAGCGGGCCTTTCCGCCGGCGGGGCGCGCGGTGCTGAGGCGGCCTGCCGCCCCCCTCGCTGCGGGGGAAGACGGCGGCGCCGCCCCCGCGCTCGGGTGCCGCTGCTGAAAGTGCCCCTGGCCAGCGCCGTTGGGGAGCAGGAGGGGAAGGAGGAGGAGGAGGAGGAGGAGGAGGCGGAGGAGGAGGAAAAGGGGGGGAGGGGGGAGGAGGAGGAGGAGGAGGAGGAGGAGGAGGAGGAGGAGGAGGAGGAGGAGGAGGAGGAGGAGGAGGAGGAGGAGGAGGAGGAGGAGGAGAGGAGGAGGAGGAGGAGGAGGAGAGGAGAGGGAGGAGGAGGAGGACGAGGAGGAGGAGGAGGAGGACTATTTCCTTGGGCTATTTCCTTGTCTACGCGCGGGGCCTTTCGTGAAAGGGGCCCAAACGACGGGGCACTCTTATACAACAGGCTGCTCTGTTGAACAGGGTGCTGCAGCATTCTCGTTGGCGCGCTCCATCCCAGCAGCACCTTGGCCAATGACGCGCCTTCGAGATACCGCGGGCCAAACGCCCATTTCGAAACAGGGGTTTCTCGGTTCACCCCAACCTCATCCTGGTGCGTTTTCGCCTCGTCCTTTTGCTCTCGTTCAGGCTTAGCACCAACCCAAAGTGACGGGAGGACTTGCCACTCCCATGGAACAAACGACAGATGAAGGCAATGCGCACAAGAAAGTATGATGCCATCCTCGTTGCAAGATGGCCGTACACGGGCCTCACCCTGAAGTGCAAGCGCAGTTGAGCGGAACATCTGCAGGTAGTTGGGAGCGGCTATAAAAAAAGTGAGAACGAGGAGGAGGAGGAGGAGGAGGAGGAGGAGGAGGAACAGCACCAGCAACATCAGGATCAGGAAGGAGAGGGGAAACGAGAAGGAGGAGAAGCAGGAGGAAGAGGAGGAGGAGGAGGACGAGGAGAAGGAGGAGGTTGGAGGGAGCATGGAGGATGGAGGAGGGAGGATCGAGGAGGGAAGATGGAGGAGGCGGATGGGAAGGCGATAGAGCAGGCGGAGGAGGAGGAAGAGGACGAGGAGGATGACGACGACGACGAGGACGATAAGGAGGAGGAAGGATGAGGATGAGGAGGGTGGTGGAGGAGGACGAGGAGGAGGAAAACGAGGAGGATGAGACCGATGTAACATGGACATGTTGACAATGGGAGAATGGAAGATGGAGGAATGGGATAAAGCTCTCGGCTCAAGTTTGAGATGGCTTTCCGCTTCGCGTGGCCCGATGGGTCCGCATGGCCACAGGGGGTTGTCCCCTTGTGCCAGATATTTGCCGCCGGACAGGCCACGGCTGATAACCCAGACCAGGTGCCTGCTATCCGGGAGGTGGCAGAACAGTTCGAACTCACCATCGAGATGGATGTGTGTATATATATATATATATATACACATAACGGCGCACCGGGTCCGGGGGCCCGGGGCCGGGACCTCCGACCGTCCAAGATGTGGGCCTCCCGGGGGGCCCAGGAGAAGCTCGTCCATTCCTATGGGAAAACGTATATTTTTCGCATGTTCGCATCTTGGGTTTTCACCGCGTCCAAGACGGCCCAAGAGGCCTCCAAGACGGCCTAGGAGGCCTCCGGGAGCGCTCCAAGGCTGCGCACGAGTGGCTCAGGACGGCCCCAAGACGGCCCAAGAGAGCCCCAAGACGAGTTCGAGAGGGGTCCCAGACGGAGAAAGCCAACCTCGAATTCCGAGCTTCCGGCCCAAGAGGCTCCAGGAGGCGCCAAAATGCCGCCAAGAGGCGCCACAAGGCTCCCAAAAGCACCCCAAGACGTTCCGAGAGGCACCCCAAGAGAGGTCCAAGAAACAAAAATCGTGTCATTCCTATGGGAAAACGTATATTTTTCGCATGTTCGCATCTTGGGCTTTCACCGCGTCCAAGACGGCCCAAGAGGCCTCCAAGACGGCCTAGGAGGCCTCCGTGAGCGCTCGAAGGCTGCGCACGAGTGGCTCAGGACGGCCCCAAGACGGCCCAAGAGAACCCCAAGACGACTTCGAGAGGGGTCCCAGAAGGAGAAAGCCACTCTCGAATTCCGAGCTTCCGGCCCAACACATCCCAGGAGGCGCCAAAACGCCGCCCAGAGGCGCCAAAAGGCTTCCAAAATCAGCCCAAGACGATCCGAGAGGCACCCCAAGAGAGGTCCAAGAAGCAAAAATGGTCCCATTCCTATGGGAAAACGTATACTTTTCGCATGGTCGCCTGTTGGGTTTTCACCGCGTCCAACACGTCCGAAGAGGCTCCCAAGACGGCCTAGGTGGCCCCCAAGAGAGTTCCAAGACGGTGCACGAGGCGCCCAGGACGGCAAAATTGGATTCCAAAATGGCCTAAGAGAGCCCCAAGGCGTGCCCGAGAGGGGTCCCAGAGGGAGAAAGCCACTGTATAATTCCGAGCTTTCGGCCCCAAGAGGCTCCAGGAGGCGCCAAGAGAGCTCCAAGAAGCCCCCACGAGAGACCCAGGACGCCCCAAGAGGCTCCAAAGGCGGCCCAAGAGAGCCCCAAGATGGGCCCGAGAGGGGTTCCACGATTCCTGGGTCTGTGACTCGAGAGAACCTAAGCGCGCCAAGCGCGCGCGTGGTTCTAGTATAGATATACACAGGTAAGCCTTCCTCAGTTTGATTGGGAGCCAAAAACATTTCCAGCGAACGGATGGGAGATCTGAGAGAACTTTCAGTTCTGGCGAAGGATGGTCTGCAGTGCGTGGGGAAGCGGGAGAAGCCGCTGCTTCTAACATTCATGGTTTGCGCCATGATCAACGGTCGCGGGTTCACCCGAGCTGTCGTCGGGGCCTTGCACGAACGCGGCGTTCGGGGAGCTGGTTCTTCAGAGGTGATCGCTGCCTTTCAGCGGGCCATCGCTGAAACCCCCGTTCAACCGACGCCTCTTCAACGCGGCCAACGGGCGCCTGCAAACCGAGCGGAAGATGCACAGGGCCACGGGCGGAAGAATATTCACCGCCACCGCCGTCCAATGTATTGCCCTCTTCGTTTCCGAGAGGGTGGATAAGGAAAGGGGCAAGAACGACGACGTCCGACGACGACGACGACGACGACGACGACGACGACGACGACGACGACGACGACGACGACGACGACGACGACGACCGCGGCGACAACGACGGCGACGACGACGACGACAGCGGCGACGGCGACGTCGATGGCGACGGCGACGGCGGCGGCGACGGCGACAACGACGACGACGACGACGACAACGACCACGACGACGACTCAAAGTGGAGGTGGCGGAGAATATTTCTGGCCTTTGTGCCAGGCTCTCATGATCGTGCAAACCCGCAGAAAATCCGCTGAAGGTGAAGTCGGAGGTGGCCCGAGGATGTTCGAGCAGACAGCTGCTAAGCGGTTTTAGCTTGCTCTGGCCGCCGCGCTCGGGCCCTTCGCGGCAAAGGGCACGGCGTTTTACCTCTGGCGGGCCTGCGCCAGGAAACCTTCCTCCGAGCTGGGCGGCGAACGGAGCGCGCCGGGCCCGGGCGCGTTGGTGTTATCCTCCGCGCAGGAGAGCCGCGCCTTCCACGAGTTCAGGCCCTTGCCCGCCGAAGCTGTCTCCTTGTGTTCTCTCTCTCTCTCTGTCTCGTTCTCTCTCTCCCTCTCTTTATCTCTCTCTTTTTTTTTGTTCTCTCTCTCTCTCTCTCTCCCTTCGCGTTCTATGTCTCAGGATATAGGGAATTCATATTGTCTTGTTTATAAGGAAGGGCCGTTCCCTTTAGCGGCGACCTGGGCGACTCGCGCAAGCCGTTGCAGTGGGTCCGGCGGCAGCTGGGCGCCGCGACAGGCGAAGGTGGTGCTCGGCGCAGGAGGGAATGGCAGAGGCCCCTTGGAAACTCATCCAGAGCTCCGCGGTCGTGGCGCAGCATTTGGCATGCGAGCTGTCGAAGCGCGGGCAGGCGGCGCTGGAGGCGGGGCGGCGCGGATTTGCAGCGCCTCCCGTGCCGACGCCGCCCGCGCGCCACGCTGGCCGCCGACGACGACGAGGAAGACCTGGCAGACCCGGCGCCCCCCGACCCCGGGGACGAAGGCGTCGCGGAGTTCGTCCTGGACGGCGAGCAGAAGTTCTCAAAGAGCGACGGCGGGTCCGAGCGCGAGCCCAAGCCCTTGCGCGAGCCATCCGGCGGCGGCCAGTGCTCGCGCAGCCAGAGCCCGCTCTCCGCTCGCGGGGCCAGCGGCGGACCTCTGAAGAGGCCAACCGATGCCGGGCGCTAGCGGGCCACCCGGCGGCGGACTTCTAAAGAGGCCAGCAGTTTCGAAGGATTGCAAAAAAACGAAGGATTGCAAAAAAAAACCCAGGATTGCAAAAAAAAACAGGGTTTTTTGCAATCCTGGGTTTTTTTGCAATCCTTTTTGCAATCCTTTTTGCAATCCTTCGCTTCCTGCGCCGAAGTCGCCATCGTCGGCGCCGTCGTCGCGGTCGTCGTCGCCCCGCCGCGGCCTCGAGAGCTCCACTCCCCGAGGCCGCGTGCGGAGGCGCGTCTCGGGGGCCTCTTGGGAGGCCATCGGGGGCATGGGGGGGCTCCTCGGGGGCCTCGGGGATATCGGGGGCGGCGGGATGGGCCACGGGCCATTGCGTAAAAGACGATCGTGGATGCCCTGGCCCATCTCCACGCAATGATTTTCCCCGTCAACTGCGCCGCCCGCCTGGGCCCGTCTCTCTTGCAAGCGTTCGACGTCGGAGATCTATCGCGCGCGTCAGCGATCGCTGGCGTGCGCCGGGTGTTCCGCCGATGACAGACTCTTTGAGTTGACCCCCGGACTGTCGCCACCCCCGCGGGGGCCCTGATTCGGAGGTTGTCGCAGTGAGGCAGATTCTGGAAAAAGCGACACGGGCGCGCGCAGATTTCGCCACCGTCGCCAAAACAGCTCACTAGGACTGCATCCCGCGCTCCCACGCCGCCGGCTTCACGACGGGGCTTTCGCCGACTGCCGCCGCCGATCTCACTCCAGCGCGAGCTCCTCCGCGCGCTCGGCCAGCTCCTCCAGAACACGATCTGCC